CAGTGGACATCTATGAGTGTAAATTATCCACTAGCAAATAAGTCAAGTAAAGTTTACAGCCTCTGAATTACAAGTGATAACATAGGAAGACAGTATTCTGTGTGCTAGTATTAATTAAATGAGTAAGTGTGCATAATTAGAACTATTTCAATAGCATCAATGCAGATGGTCACTAATATCCTCATTTCATTTCTGAGAGGGCTCTTAGTCATCCCTACTTACCTGGAGTATCAGAGATAACTAGAAGGAAAATATATTGGAAATACAGCTTGACATAAGTGGTACCACATCCCACAATAGGAAGATAGATTTTAAAAAAAGAAGAAGAAGAAGGGCCTTTTATAGGTACCATACACAACATCAGAAAATGGGAATACAACCTCTTATTCCGTTAACCAATGCAAACCGTGCAATTTTACACCTTCCTCCTGCCCAGGCCATTTTTCAGGTTTCAGCGCTCTCACACTTTGAATGAAAATTGCGCGTTCATACAACATTGTACCCAACTAAAATTTTATCATTTTCTTCACACAACTAGAGCTTTCTTTTGGTGGTATTTAATCATCGCTGGGGTTTTTATTTTTTGCTAAATTAACAAAAAAGTACGAAAATTTTGAAAAAAAAACACGTTTTTCTTTGTTTCTGTTATAAAAGTTGGCAAATAAATAATTGTTCTTCATAAATTTAGGCAAGATGTATTCTGCTACATGTCTTTGGTGAAAATAACCCAAATTAGGATGTATTTTTTAGTTTGTAGGAAAGTTATAAAGTTCACAAACTATGGTATAGATCTGAATATTGATCAATCCTGAAGTACTGACAGCCAATCTAATTTCTTGAGGTCCAAGAATGTCAGAATAGTACAGATATCCCCCAAATAACCACTTTTTGCAAAGTAGACAGTCCGACGTATTTCATAAGATGCATGGCGAGTTTTTTGAAGTTGTATTTTTTTTGTCATAATTTTTTGGAAAATGAAAAAATAAAAAAAAAATATTTTCACAATTTTTTTTACATACTGTCACCAGTGCAGTATAGTGTCATCATATAACTGGCATGGTGGTGATCAGGGACACTGACTGGTGACAGTGTAAAAAAAATATATATATTTTTTTTTTTATTTTAAATTTTTTATTAAATTGTTTTTCTTTTTTTTTAAGATTTATTTTTCATATTTCACTATGTCCAAAGTAGTACAATGTTACCATAGTAACATTGTACTACTTTGGGGAAGTGATCAGTATTTTTTTTTTTTTACACAATTTGCTTATAGCAAAGAATTACTTTGCTATAGCATTTACCTGAATGACATTGATTCATTCAGGGCTCTGCAAGCGTGCGAACTGTGCATGTGCGGGAGGATGCCACATGGCGGCCTCCCGGAAAGGTAATGCATTTTTGCGGACGCCATTTGGCCATAGGCCATGGTTAAAATGACAAATATTTTTTTTTTGCAAAAAAAATAACATCAACCCATAATATCAAAAATACAGTAAAGGAATTCAATAAAGCCATCCCTAAAGCACTAATAACTGCTGTCAACACTACATCTCCAATTGATACAAGAGTATATACAGAAAATACATATGTTGTGTCATACATATGAAATAAATTCAATAGGCTTGCTTTCAATGTGATGGAGCAGTTGTATATAATACAAAAAGGTGTCATCAGGTTCCAAAGTGTTCTGCTATTTAATCAGGAGACCCTGATACAATAATACATATTAACAGGCATAGAAATAGCACTGCATCAAGGTTGGGGACACTCCGAGCACCCCCCCTTCCCCCCAAGGGCCTGGGTGATGGATGGCAAAGGAGCCCCCTTTGGTGACCAACCAACATGGTCCCTTTATATATATCACTTAGGAAGATGTTCATCATACTGACAGCTGCTCAAATTGTACCAAGCTAGGATAAATTGAAGAAAAGGTACCATTAGATAGAAAAAGATAATAAAGGAAGGCACACTTAAAAATTCCTCATATTATACAGGTCCTTGGGTTGAAAAGTAGCACAGCAAAATCTGTACCCGTAAAAGTAATGGATGTAACTGCCCTACACTGATGTGAAGCTTACATCCCTTATAACTGTGTCCTTTGGCTTTGGTTTACACACTGCTAATCTGTCTTCTTTTTCTCAACATCTTCTAAGAAATGCTTACTGGGCCACCTGTTTCCTAAGTGGGAAGCAGTATTAAGAACAATGGTTCACATTTACAACTTATACTTTATGTGTAGGCTGGCAATGCTATAAGGCATCTTTGAGGGCAATAGGTGTGGACAACAGAAGCTATCATTCATGTGACAAGGGAAGTCAATGATTCTTTGCTAAATGCAACAATTTTTTCATACCTTATGGCAAACTGTACAAGTTCTGATCATACAAGTATATCCTTATTGTGCTTCTCCAATTATGTGATACATGTATTGCTTCTGTAAGATGTCCCTCAAGAGCACATCTGAATTCAGAACTCAAGCTGCCCTAGGTACATGTAAATATTCTTTTGCAGGCTCCATAGACATTGTTTTCAAACATAATCAAAACCAGAATATACTAGTAGAGACAGTTATGTGCATGACACAACTCCACTTCAACCTAGTTAATTCGGAAAGGCAAAACAAAAGAAAAAACAAAACAAAATATATAAGAATCAACAGCATAAAAACAGAGGCTGGTGTGCAGAAGTGTGGTCAGTGACATCCAGATAAAAAAGTCTTCAAATATTCACATCATGCAAACAGTATAAAACCAGTCTGTATTACATACTGTATATAAACAATCCTCGGTCTAATGCTCTTCACATATTCAACATGCCAACATGCTACTCTTGAAGTCATTCTTTCCACATGGTAATATTGCGCATTGTGTCTTTCCCCTAAAGGATTTGGTGCTATCATCTCCTACCATGCTGTCCTAGCTACAGATCCGCAAATGGTAACTATGGGCATACCCAAGACTAGGTACATATATCACGCATTTCATTATGTACTTTTGCATTGAGAAATTGACACAATCATACCTTTTAATAGCAGGAATTTTGAAAATAAAGTAAAACCTACATAGTAGTAGCAGTTGATACATTCCAGTGTATTTTGGATCCATTTCAGATCCATACCTAATTGGGCGACAGAAACAGCCCTATTGGAAGATTTCCAAGACCAAGCAGTCTCAAAGAAGCAGTGATGACTGTCTGGAGAATGTCCAACATCACTGAACTTCACTGAAAAAAAAAAACATTGCTCCATTTCCATCACTTATCATCCAGTATTAATTTGGCAATAGATGGATGGAAATGCAGCCAGTTCAGCAGGGACCATGTGAATTTCAAAACATTCATTGCTGTTCCCGTTTGCCAGAAGTCAATCTAATGATCGGTTTCTCACAAACAGGCTTGTTGGAAAATTTTTGTTTGGTTGAAAAAAAACTGATCTATGTATGGCCATCTCTATTCTTTTTGTAGTTATCCAGAGCTCTTGACCATTGTTGGTGATAATGACACAGACTTAGCTCGCATGTGTGACATAGACTGTGCCAGCATAAAATAACTCATCTGAAACATTAGTAAAACTACCACCACTGAGCCAGCGTGAAGAGTATCCTAAACTTCAAAACTGAGCCCTACAGATATTTTACATTTAGCTGGACAAGTATGATTTTTCTTTTAAAAATAGTTATTCCAACAAGATGTAAATTGCTACAAAGGTTCTGCCAAACTCTTATCACAAGACTGCCTTCAGTTATTTTCACCTTAGGAGGTTGTTCATACAAAAGTTTAAAATGTGGGTGTAATCTCTAAATCCCACATCCATCACTGCAGCAAAAACAACATGGAGAAATGTGTTGCTTTTATTCTTGGCATCCTTTTTACAGTGACGTGCTTTATCAGCAAAGTAGCTCAGCACCTTTGTAACAGTCTCTGCCAATCCCTTTAACATGCCTCTTCAAAAGACCCCCTGTGTGGCATTTAATTAACTTTATTGATATTTAGAAATTAGGAGGGTAGGGAGATGGAGAAATCATTAACTTACGCAGCAGGAGGGATCACAAACCATCCGTAAACACCCTTAACCCATATGCTACAGCCGAGGACAGGAAATGCAGTACTTAGTAAAGAGCAATATACCAGCAAAAACATTTTTAATATGGTTTAATTAAATGATGTTAGCAGATTTTAAAGGCACTGAGACAAATATTTTTCTTCTAAAAAGGGAAGCATCAATCATACTTAGTTAATTACATGGTTAGCCACTTCCAAAGTTGATGTTTCAGGCATAGGTGGAGAGGGTGGGTTGAGTCCACCATTGACTTCTCATAGCAAGTCGATCTGCTCACTTGATTTCATGATTTTGACAATAAACCCCATAAGGCTCCATGTACTGGACACTTTTGAACGATGGAAACTGACTGCTGGAAAACGTAGGTTAAAAAAACATCTGTTCAGCCTCGTTTGCATAGCGCATTTATGCACGTTTGTGAACGTTTGCATTTAGAAGCGTTTTTTAACCACTTGCCTACCAGGCACTTGTACCCCTTTCCTGCTCTGGCCAATTTTCAGCTTTCAGCGCTGTCGCACTTTGATTAACAATTGCGCGGTCATGCAAGGTTGTACCCATTTGAAATTTTTATCATTTTTTTCTCACAAATAGAGCTTTCTTTTGGTGGTATTTAATTGCTGCTGGGCACTTTACTTTTTGTGCTATAAACAAAAAAAGTTGCAAAAAATTTGAAAAAAAAAAAAAAGTTTCTTTGTTTCTATTATAAAATTTTTCAAACAGGTCATTTTTCTCCTTCACTGATGTGCATTGATGAGGCAGCACTGATGGGCACTAATAGGTGACACTGATGGGCACTGATAGGCAGCACTGATGGGAACTGATAGGCAGCACTGAGGTGGAACGGATAGGCGGCACTGATAGGCAGCACTAATGAGGTGTCAGGGATAGGCGGCACTGATAGGTAGCACTCATAGACAGCATTGATAGGTGGCAATGACTGGCATCACTGCTGGGCACTGACTGGCGGCACTGCTAGGCATTGACTGGCTAAACTGCTGGGCACTGACTGGCACAACCACTGGGCACTGACTGGCAGCACTGCTTGGCTGCACTGATGGGCACTGGTGGGTGGCACTGGTGGGCACAGGTGGGTGGCACTGGTGGGCACAGGTGGGTGAGCACAGGTGGGTGGCACTGCTGGGCACCGGTAGGTGGCACTTCTGAGCACAGGTGTGTGGCACTGCTGGGTGGCACAGGTGGGTGCACTGCTGGACACAGGAGGGTGCACTGCTGGGCACAGGTGGGCGCACTGCTAGGCACAGGTGGGTGCACTGCTGGGCACAGGTGGGCGGAACTGGTGGGTGGCACTGCTGGGCACCGATCATCAGGGCACTGATCATCAGTGACCTGATGATCGGTGCTGATCCCTGCTCTGACAACTGCCGGTTCTCGGCAGTACTTTCCTCACACTCTGACAGCGTGAGGAAAGTGCAGCCGAGAACCGGCAATTGCATTTCCCGGTGATCAGAAAGAAAAACCCAAGCTTTATTTTAACTATCCCCAGGCCACTTTATTGACATTACTGAGGACTACAGCCAATAAATGAATGAGGCTGGGTGACAACACAAGGAACCTGTTACATATACCATGAGGAAAAAAACCTGCTACTATGATGTTCAGCTCCTGTTGAATGGGCTGAAAGTTTGGTGTTCTGACAAACACAGAAACAAGCAATGTCAGTTTGAACAGCTCATTAGCATAACAGGCAGGCAATTGTGTTGCATGCAATTTATTGGTTTTGATGTGTAAGAGTTTTTTTAATCCCTATTTTAGGCTACATGGAAATCACAGACTTCTCCAAACCTCCTTCTCCTGCCTGAACCTTCTTTGTGATTTTAGTAATTGAGCTTATACAGTTGTGTTCAAAATAATAGCAGTCAGACATCACTAACCTGATCAATCACTATTTTTGGTAGAAATGATAATTCTACATGGCAAATAATTTACTAGCAGATGTAGTAGAGTAATAGAAATCCAACAGACCCAACAGTCATGACATGCATGCTGCTGATTCTGTGTAATTGAATCACTAATTGAAAGGGGCATGTTCAAAATAATAGCAGTGTGGAGTTCTATTAGTGAGGTCATTCATTCTTTGAAAAACAGGTGGCGATTATTGCCCTTATTTAAGGAAGGAAGGAAGGCAGCAAATGTTGTACATGCTGGTTACAGTGCATTTCACTCTGAAATTCTGAGAAAAATGGGTAGTTCCAGACATTGTTCAGAAGAACAGCGTACCTTGATTAAAAAGTTGATTGGAGAGGGGAAAACATATAAAGAAGTGCAGAAAATGATAGGTTGCTCAGCTAAAATGATCACAAATGCTTTAAAATGGCAACCAAAACCTGAAAGACGTGGAAGAAAAAGCAAAAAACTACCATTCGAATGGATAGAAGAATAGCCAAAATGGCAAGGACTCAGCCAACAATCAGCTCCAGGAAGATCAAAGAAGGTGTAAAGTTACCTGTGAGTTCTGTTACAATTAGAAGACGCCTATGTGAAGCCAAGCTATCTGCAAGAAGCCCCCGCAAAGTCCCACTGTTGAAAAAAAAAGACATGCTGAAGAGGTTACAATTTGCCAAAGAGCACATTGACTGGCCTAAAGGAAATTGCGCAACATTTTGTGGACTGATGAAAGTAAGATTGTTCTTTTTGGGTCTAGTGGCCGGAGACAGTTTGTCAGATGACCCCCAAACACTGAATTCAAGCCACAGTACACTGTGAAGACAGTGAAGCATGGTTGCGCAAGCATCATGATATGGGAATGTTTCTCATACTACGGTGTTGGGCCTATTTATCGCATACCAGGGATCATGGATCAGTTTGAATACATCAGAATACTTGAAGAGGTCATGCTGCCTTATGCTGAAGAGGAAATGCCCTTGAAATGGGTGTTCTAACAAGACAACAACCCCAAACACACCAGTAAACGTGCAACATCTTGGTTCCAGACCAACAAGATTGACGTTATGGAGTGGCCAGCCCAATCCCCGGATCTTAATCCAATAGAAAACTTGTGGGGTGACATCAAAAATGCAGTTTCTGAGGCAAAACCAAGAAATAGAGAAGAACTGTGGAATGCAGTCCAATCATCCTGGGCTGGAATACCTGTTCACAGGTGCCAGAAGTTGGTTGACTCCATGCAACACAGATGTACAGCAGTTCTCAGAAACAGTGCTTATACAACTAAATATTCATTAAGTGATTCAAAGGAAAGCAAAATCTTCAAACATTTTTCAGTTTATATAGTGAATGTTTGAGTTTGTAAAGAAGAATACAATATTTTTTTGAACAGTCTAATATTCACTTTTCTTCAATTTTTTTAGAGGAACAACACAACTTTGATGTATTTTTCTTCATGTTTTGATTTGGAATAGAATGTGTAGTGTTCCCAATGCATTTGTGTGTATGGAAATAAAAGTTATTAGAAGGATTTTGAGCTTTATTCACTTTTTTCAACACACTGCTATTATTTTGAACACAACTGTATATACTGTCATAATTCCGTCGAAATAGCAGATATCCACATAAAGTTGAAGTTTGCTGGCTTGCCAGGGATTTCTTTCCATGCCACTAGGAATAGCACAAAACATGGAAGAAAAACTTGATCTCTATATGTTGTATGTAGGAAACTTGCTGCCCGCTCTGGCATGCAAAGTGCACATTGTCCAAGACTGATCTAAATTCTCCACAATGTAAATGTGAATGATTGCAATTTATTCAGTCATGTCAAGTTTTTTTTATTAGAATTGCCAAATTTTCTAAACAACTTCTCAAAATAAATTAGCACTTAGCTTAAATAACTGACATTTTCTCTTCATAGTTGGATCCAAATTTAACGCTCAATTTTTCCAGACTAATATGTAACCTCTGTATTCTCAGCAATCATTGGTATCTCAGTGAGGGTATGTGCGCACAGGCTAAAGGACTAAAGTAAAAGATAATTAAAAAAGGTGTTTACTGTTTCCTGTGTTTAATTCTTTGTGTTGCAAAGTTTATGTGTGAGCAGACAACAAAAATGAATAAGATCATTCAATGAACAGTTTTACATGCAGCTTTTTCCAGCTTTTTATGGAAACCATTTAGTAGCAAAGTCACAGATATACTGCTCCTATCATGTCATTAAGGTAACTACGTTTGGATCCCTGAGCCTGCCCTCCTCCAGGCAATCACACACACCATAATAGGCAGAAGAAATGGGGCAGGATAAAATCTCCACTAAGATTTTTTTTCCCCTTATGCTTGTTGACTTTGCCTCTCATTCAGTATATCAGTCCAGGAATCTCTTCCACCCATCTCTACTTTGGTTTGGTAATTTTAGCTGTTAGCCAGAATTCAAATGTGACTTGTAATTTGTCAGGAGTAATGGTACAAAAGCATGATTAAAGTGTAATGGGGAAATAATAACCCCTGTCCGGTTTATTGCTATCTGTGTACCCATTGGGGAGATTCACCCCCTCTATTTGTCCTGGTTACCAAGCCATAAAGTGATGGGAAATCCAAAATTTTAGAGTTGTCATTAAAACAAGAGGTGAAGGAAAATCTTCCAATGGGGACAGCAGTTCTAGTGACTGCTGTCTAAGAGGGGAAATCCGGCTCACTTTGAAGAGATTTATTTTCTGAGCCAGCCAAGATTTGAACCATGTATGGGCAGGCTGAGTGTACCCAAGTTGATCAATCCATCAACTTGGGTACAACCAGCCTGCTAGATTTTACATGCGATTATTACAGGCAGCTATTATAGCTGCTAGTAGAAAACACTGTGTTCTCCAAGCGGAGACGGCTCCCCTTACTGGGAGAACACAATGCCTCCACGGGCAGGATTCTACCATCAACAGTGTCTATGTTGATGGGGGAATCAAGCAATTTTCTTTCCTGCAACCAATTGCTTTGTCTATGACGTCTTTTTAGCATTATCTTGCTTTACTGCAGTGACTGCAGATTAATCTTGCCAATGATCTGCTTCAAATCTATGGATATGATTTTTATGTTATCGGCCAGGTACATCCCTTTAAATACTACATATATGAGGGGTGGGGTGGGGGTGGGAGGGGAAATATATGCCCTCATATGTGAGTATTCTGAGTTGCTGTGCTAATTGTGTACATGGCTAGAACAAGACAAAAGCCTCTTTTCTTAGTTCAGAAAATGAATTCAAGATCCCTCACTGTTTGTATCACATGCAGGGAATGCTTGACAGAAACACAACTAGATAATGGAACAATAGATCAAAACAAAACTTGTGTTGGCACTCTCTTCACAGTGATATGTTTCTTCCTCTAACCCTGATTTCTGTTTATTACCATTTACAAGTACTTGAGATGCATAGTGGAAAACATAATTCTTTAGTCATTAGTCACAAATTCATAGGGAAAAGTGAATTTCAAGCAGATGAAAGCAAAAGAAAAAACATTTTGTTTTAACATTTTTTTTTAACATTAGTTATTTTTGATTATGATTTTGGGAAGAACTATGAATGCTGGAAATCGTATATGTTAATGAAAGCATTCCATGTGTTTAGATGCAAGTCATGTTTACCAAGTAATGTCAAATGGGTTTGGTTACACTAGATTGTTCACTCCATTCTTTTTTTCTTTTTACCACTGTACATTATGCGTTGTCCCACTCAACCCAAAACCCAGTCCATTTAGTCTAACCAAATTTGGACAAAGACACGTCCACATTTTGGAGCATCAAGTAGTTTGGTGTGGCTCCATTCATGCCCGCCATACTTTTTGCTTGTTCCCAAGAGTTTAACAGCCCACTGAAAGGAATGGGTTGTCAATAAAGGGTTGCACAGGAGAGTGCAAAATTTCACTCTTCATGGTGTCAACTGTAATTTTTTTTTTTTAAGTTTACAGGTTTAGAACTTGATGTTTTATATAATTTAATATTGTATACCATATTTACACATTTCTACCTTTTCAAAATATCTTGAGCTATGGCCAGATATGTCTGGGTAAAATGAATATCTTTTTATTCAAATGCTGAAAATTGCAATGTAATACCATAGATCCCACAGAGTTTAGATTGTCATGTTGAGCAACTTGTATGACCTTTTTAATAAATGATTTTACACAATAATTTGTTTTATTTTGGCTGTGAACTGCTCCACATACACATTTGTCAAGATGGATGAATGGTAGCTCCAGGAAATTACCCACGGGCAGGCACAGATGTTTTTCTGAACAGGGTTTCAAAAAATAAAAGCAGTGACCAGCCAGTTTGTGTGTGGTCATACCCCATTGAGTGCCCCTATGTCTGTGTATTCAATGGAGGTCATTGAACATGGAGTGCAGCTTAATTTGGATTTGATAACACTAGAGCTGTGGCCTAGTTCAT